CATCGAAGCTGTACCAGAAGAGACTATTACAATTGGATGGTGAATGAAAACGATGTACCATTGGAACAGCACATTCACCACCTGAATCATAACCATTATTGCCCCTAATTATAAAAAGTAGACCTTTATAGCGTCAAAGATATTTGGATGAAGAAAATAATTTTTGAGTTGACTACTAAAACAGTCATCTTTCGAAAATTTTTCAAATAGTTATGAGTTTCACATAATATGAACAGTGATTTACTATGATGGCCGAAAGCCTCCTGGACCTGGCGCTCCGCTAGGATCGTTTTCTTCTCCTGTAACATGATCGTATTCATGATTTCCAATTACAACCATATATGGCACACGCGATGCAATAGGATCGATTTGAGTCATAAAAGCATCCCAAAGTGCACCAATACCTCATGCATAACTAATATCACCCATATGTAAAACACATGTGATATTATTAACCATCAATTGTGCTCTAATTCGATCCATTGTTGATTTAGCACCAGGATGAACGGGTGCTGCACCCATATCGCCATAGGCAACAATGGTCACTTTTGCGTTAGCATCATTGGCTGGACGATTGGTAAATGAAAGTACTGACGACCAACCATGTTGATCATTTCCTACTCGATAAAAATAGGTAGTTGATGGACGAATATTTTCAAGAATAATAGTATGCATATAGCCAGGATCAATAAATGTTTGTGGACCAGGAATATTTGCTTTACCTTCGCACATATCCGATGCCTTATAAGTGATTGTCGTTCCTTGAGCATGCCACTGAAGCGATGATGCATTCAAACCATATTGACATTCAGGTATGTACTCGGATGAATTCGTTACATATGAAACAAACACTTGATCGATTCTATCACCATAAGCCAAATGAATTTGTTCTGGTGCATTATAATTGAACGGCTGAACAATCGCAGATTTTGCGACAGATGAATAATATCCTGAGCAATTCTTTTCGCGTGAATAATAACGAAATTCAAGTGGACGACGTAAATTAATCATTTGCCATGACATACTTGTTTGATTCGTTTGAATAAATTCATAACCAAAGTAGCCGCATGCACCTAATCGATTCGAAACAAGAACTTTTATTAAATAAAATAAAACATTCGAATTTGAGTCGAGTTGTATATCAATTAAAATCGAACGATATCATGATTTGTTATATGATAAAATAACTTTTGTTTGGCAAAAAAACACAAAAAAGACTCACCTGTAAGGAGGGGAATATCAATAAAATAAATGCCAATAAAATCGTCGTTACATGACAAATATGTTGGTGGCCAAGTAACAACGATTTATTGATTGCTAATGTAGAGTGTTGATGATACATTCAACTCTTGGATATTCGCTAGTGATAATGATACTGAAGGAAATGAAATTCCCAATGTTCGATTACAATTGTATGGACTTGGAACAGTTTTGATTAAATTTTGTTTGACAAACGCACCAGTGACATTGAAATGACTGTTGCATTGGACAACACTAATAATAAGAGACAAGAAAGCGCATGTTATTTGACGCAGCGACATCGTCTTGAAAGTCCTAAAACAGACTTCGGTCTCTCTACTATCATTCGATATGATGATAAGAAAAGTAAACTGATAATGTAGTATGGTTTTAGTTGAGAAAAAGTATATACCATCTGTCCAAAAATCATGATAGGATAAAAAATGGAATATCTTTATCGGGTTTCAACCAATTGAATTAGTTTTTTTTTCTTTTGATAATACAAGATAGTTTTAAGTCTTATTTATGGATGAGAAGTTTAGCAACATTACTTAAAAACGTTACTTTTTAGTTCAAACGAGAAATATTTACACTTTTGCTAAAGATGAACGGTGAATTTTCAACTTCTGTCAAGTATGCTTTAAGTGAGTGTAGATGTGAGTGTATACAGAGTGAACAGACACATTCACACCAAAAATGAGTACTTTTTATCGAAGAAATGAGATTCTGATTGTAATCGAAAGAGAATTTTTTTGAGATGATATGGTGACCTGGACTATCGTAAACAACATTAGATCTTATTGTCTCTAAAAATGAGATGTGATCAGTTCCTTCGAATCGATTTCGATTCATTGAACAATTTTTTCTGTATAAGAAAAAATAAATTGTGCATTGTTATTTCGAGAACTAATTTTGATTTGATGTTTAGGGTAGGATGAGATGCAGCTATGACTTTGTGAGTGTGGATGTTGGTGCCAATTTCTATGGTATGAAAAGAATATCTACACCCTTTCATTCTCATAGCCACACCTTTCCATATTTTCGTCGTTCACTAATTATTTTTCTGAAATTTCTTTATAAGTATTTGTTTTGTTTCTTGCTTTTCATTTATAATTGATGAATATTAGTAAGAAAGTTCGTTTTTATCTAAATAAAACGATATTAGATGATATTTACAACAAATCAATGTTAAGATGACTAAAATACATGAATGAAAAGAATTAATTTTCATCGATTTTTCGTAAAAAGAGTTTTAAGGAGATATCAATTCCAAATTATAAAGCTTAATTAAAAGTGATTCATTTTCTTGACAAAATCATCTTTTGGATTTTGATAATTTTCTTCAACTGTTGAAACTATATAATTAACTTACAGAATAATAGAAGGAAACAAGTCAACTACTAGTAGTTGCTTTTTAATGAAATAGAGATTCATGAAACCATGTGTATTGATTCTGTAGCAGATCATCAAGGGGAAAATGTTTTAGTAACTTTGAAAAAGACATTTAAAAAAAATTTCTTTTTCTTTCATTAAATGTAAACAGAAATTTCGATTGAGTTAATGAAAGGGATCAGAATGTATTAGGTGGCGCATTAATAATGAGTTTTTCAGTAACTGGAGTAATTTGTTTGTATTCATTTTCAACTCGTTGATCTGTTTGTTTTACGAAAAAATATTCCGCCAAAATCTAAATGAAAGCTTTCTAAGATTTATTTGTATACAATGGTAAGAAGATGAATTAAGTAAAAATTCTGTTGAAAATGACTGCAATCTGCTATTTTTTTTCAATATCTTACTAACTGAATTTAAGAAGAAAGCTATCAAATAAAATTTCATTGATGAAAGTGATACACGAGTAATTTCTCACTAATAAAAAACAAATTCGAACTCAAAAGATGCTATTGTAACTTGTTTATCGAATGTTTCTCAGAAGCTCTAGAATTACATATAGCAAATGTTGGAAATTTTCAAATACCTTAAATATGATTAAGTCGATGCCAAAATCTATGACTAATTTAGTATTTATTCAATCGATACTGCGTGACAAAGTGTTTCAAGGGCTGTGGAATGTGCCTATTTTCTTTTACTTTTATCACTTCGCTCAATGAAAGCACCTGAACAAAAGCAGTTTTTCAATTGAGAAAGTTGGTCCGTTTCTAAGTGTTAAATATTTTTCGCTTATTTTATTTTCTTACCGTTCTATAGAAATAAATTTTAGGAAGTTTTTGTTGAGAGTCCAGCGGCACATCTTAGGGTAAAACAAATCGATTAAGAACTTGAGCATGACAAAAATTATATCTCAAATAGAATATGATTATTTATCGTTTTCTACCTAGTTGAAAAGAACTTATTCTATGAGTGAATTATAACTTATTCAGTACGATTGGTGCAAAAAATTGAAAGTAGACCTAAACAATTTTTGACTACCTAGTATATTTTATTATGATCAATGTTTTTATTATACAGTAAATGTTTCTTAACAGCTTGATGCATATCAGAGCGTGAGTATACGTACATTGTGGGAAAATCCACACCCACATCCAGCATATTGTTCAATACAATGATCAAGTAACAAGTCGAAAAGGAACTTTAAGCTCTGGTGTATGACAAATTTCAAAATCAATATTTTGATAATGCATTTTATATTTCATGGCAATCAACAACTGAACTTCTTTTGAAAGATATCGATGTTCGACAAGATATCATCTAATATATGCAGAATTTTTCATATGTAACGACGTTTTCTTCTGAAGAATATCCAATCATATCAGTGTGAAGTCGATCAAGAGAGGCGAGACAATCAAATCAAGCAAAGAGCCAAAAGATCATAATTATATTGGCATACAAAATTCCGAAAGAGAATTGAAGTTTTCAATCCGATTTTCTCATAGAGATATCATGAATTGATTGAATAGCAGCAGAAATGTTCCTTGCTGCTTGCTTTTTTTTCTGAAATTTAGTTAGTGACAAAAAAGTTAACAGTGATTTGGAATAAAATATCTATGAGATAGACCTATACGACGAAAGTCAAACTGGTTTCTATTGTCGAAGAAAAATGTGGAAAGTGCCGTCAATAAACAACAGCGTTTTTATGATAGATCATATGCGTATTAGTTTTTTGTTGACGGCAAAGCTCGATTCAAAAAGTATTCGTAATAAAAATGGATAAAGTCATCACATTCATTTCGATTTAAAATGATCAATTCGAAACAGGAACTATGAACTTTCTCGAGTATGAAATAAATACGAATAACCCATATTCGAATACGAATTGAGGTAAGAATAATGGAGACTCGTGAGCGAGTGCGAATATCGATTGCTTAATAACGATTTACGATTACTAGTACCTTGGATATCGTCTTGATTTTTAGTGTTTCGTTCTAAAAGTGCGAGTATCTTATTAATTTTCTCGTCTCGCTGTGCTTCGTTTGCTTGAATCTCCTTAATTTTCGTCAAACAACTTCTCATATCTTGTTGAAGAGCTTGTGTTTCGTAGCTAAGCAAACGTTCATCTTCGAGAAGTTTAGCATTGTCATATAAATAATTGGGCGGTGCCTCTTGACGGCCTTTAAGCGGACTAAAGAAATTGTCATTACACTGATCAATGAAATCGAATGTGAGCAAAAAATGCGCATGAGCATGACAATCAAGTGCGTGTTTTACCATTGCAGCAGCCGATTCCCATTGACCGAAATTGATTGCAACAGCATCGACTGGCCATTTCACATCATTCGAACCTTTCTTACTGCGAAGCTCGTCACGAAGAAGTCGGCATGTATAGATAGCTGTAGCCCAGAATAGAGGTAAACAGACAAGTTTACTATTAACAAGGTGCCATGGTGGAGTAGAATGTAAGAGAAGATCGCGCACATGATCTTTTTTGTTCGTAAAAATGAAGCTTGACTCTTCACGATTGAAATGGAGTCCATAATTTTGTTGCAGTGAAAGATCATGATTAATAACTACAATACATGCACATCAACGAATCGTATGTTCCTTACACTATTCTGTTGCTATTTGAAATAGGAGAATATCTATCGTTCTTCTCGATGAATTTGAGAGTGTGGCACGTGAGTGAAGAAGAAACTAAGGCTCATAGCTGCATAGATGCCCTTTCAAAAGTATTTTTACAATTTCAAAAAGTAAACGTCGTTCAATGAAGAATTCTTCATTTCTATAGATTTTGTTGTGGATAAACCAGCTCAGAAAATTTAAATTAGGTTTTCCGTAACACGAACGCCGACCTACAGCAGATACATGAGGAATAATCAATATATAAGAAGTGATGAAAAAGAGATTGCGTTTTTTTACACTTCATATTTGGCCAACTTCTGAATTCATTTGTACCTCTTTTTACAGTTCTAAAAAATCTATAGGTATGGTATATTCTGCCTTTTATAAAGGAAGAAAAACTTGTTTCCTATATCTGAAAGACAACTTGTCAGCATCTATCGGCAGAGACATATTAGAGTCTCTTTTATTTGGTTGCTTGGCTCATATTTTTCTTTTGAATACATATTAAAATCTTATGACTAACTTCATTAGATTTCTACCATATAACAAAGAATATCTCCCATTTGTGTCAAATTTTCAGCCTTTAAGAATTCGAGTAGGGGATTATTTTTCAAGAATCAAAATGGGAAAAAATACAAGGACATTTATAATTTGAAGGATCAATTTCTCATGGCTTTGGACTCTCACGACTTTCGGCCTGATTTTAAAACTATTTTGAAAATCCATTTATCAGCTTTTGATTCTTATCTATCAAACGAACACTTGATTCC